TGATCGATAATGGATGGAAGGGTGAAGTCATATTTACCTCGGGGTATCAAGTATCATGATTTTCATGAATTATATTATACAGAACTTTATATCCGAACTATACACTTTTACAAACTTTTAATTTTGAAATACGATATTATAAAAATTCTTTTAGACAATGATATTTTTATGACAAAAAAATAATAGTAATCATTGTCTGAAAATTTAGTCATATTATACATATATCAATGAAAAGTGGCTGTTAGATTACATTGAAACAGGTGAAAGATATACATGTTTATACTCAATGAAGATAATTTTTCGACTGCATTCGAAAACTCTTAGTATATGAAAATATCTAAATATGTAATCTTTATTTTACACCTGATTCCTTCCATCTATTCAGATGAATATTGTAACATGTATCTATTGTTTATGCAGTTTTTTCTCGGATAAACAAATATACATAGTCTGCTAACTTCTTCTACATGCTTGATTCTAATGTAAACCTTCTAAATAACCTTTCTAGAATTTTCCTACACTCTTGAAAAATAGTTCATTCATTTATACTCCTGTCAGATTTTGATTTTGATAATTTTATCTATTGCATACATATTATAACTTGTTTTAACCTTGATTTTATTTTAAGTATTCACCAAGAATAAATAAAATATTAGATTGGATGAATAACAAAAATACTGACTTTTGCTATCTTAATTAATCTATTTGTCATTCGTCCTACTAAAATCATCATGCTCGACTAAAATCAGGTTGATCTGATATTTAGAAAAAACCGTCTAGATAATATTACATGACTAATTATACACATATAAAGGTTTTTTTCCAGGTTGCATATTTTCTTGTACTTCCTTTCTATATGATGTGAATAAAATGAATGACTCACTTCCTTTTATACTGATCAAGGTGAAATATGAGTCATTGTAAACAAGAAAAATATTACATATAATTACGCCTGAGTATCGTTGTCATGAATATAACAGTTTGATCATCTTGAGGGTGTGGGTGTGATTGTTTTATTTTTATCTTACACTCGCACCTTGTCAATAAATGTCTTAGTATTTGCACATAATACGGTAAGCTCCTGTTTTTGTTCTTTATAAGTGCGATATTTTAATAATGCTTTTCATATTGAATGAAACGTTAAATTTTAACCTTATTTGAACTGACCAGTAGGAGTGTTACTTTAGTTTTATTTTTCTTTATAATAAAGAATAAAAAAAATATTTTCAAGTCATCAGTAAATAGATAGATAATTGGTATAAAAACAGGTAATATTGATCGCAGTTTTTTCCTATCACCAGCAATATTCTAAATATGAAATAGTGTTAGCAAATGAGTGTGAGGCATGAAAGATATGTGAAAAAAAACTTCTCTCTAGAATATTTTTCAGCCTGCGCCCTTATAATATTTGGCGAGATACTTGGAAAAGATAAAGTTTTAGATTTGTAAGGAAAAAAAACCAAAAAGGTCAAGCGACAAATTCACCGATAGAATGATATTATTATCGGTGCAGTTGAGGCCTCAGACAGACTGAAAAAATGAATTAACGTTGAAACTGAATTAACCAATACGATGACGTGTTATGAGATAAATCATCTTTTTTAGACGATTTATCACGATAATGCGCCAATTATATCTCTTAATTCAACTTTAACGTTAGTTCATTTTTCTGTTTGTTTGACCCCTAACACTTCTATTGTGACCATCTCCATCTTATTCGTTCTTCTTCTTTTTGTACTTACTTAACCTTTATAATCATAAACGAGTGAGAGAAAGATAAGAATAGACAAAGTGTTTATGTATTCTCTCTTATTATTTCATCGTTTAAACGTGCACAGATGATACACACAGAATTTCATAGTAGTCATTTATATCCTATGGAAGCAAGAAAAAATGTACATGACAAACAACGACTGGAGCCCGTGATCGTTATTCGAGGTCAAGGCCTCACATTGGAACATGCAGTACAAGTTTCTCGTCGTTATCGACAAGTAAAACTGACTGATGATACGAATGTTTGTACTCGAATGGATCAATCGGTTGATGTTCTGGAAGAAGTCGTTAAGGCTGCTTTACCGCTATATGGTGTCACTACTCTATTCGGTGGACTCGCTACGGAAGTTGTTTCGAATGACGTAGCGACAGAATTACAAAATAATTTAGTTCGTGTTCACACAGCAGGTGCTGGCCCGATTATGCCATTAGAATCAATTCGAGCAGCGATGCTTTTGCGAGCGAATACTCATTTAATTGGTGCATCTGGCATTCGTCGACAATGGGATGAGAAGCTGATTCGATTTCTTAATGAAGAAGTGACACCACTCGTACCAGTATTTGGTTCAATAGGAGCATCAGGTGATCTTATTCCATTATCTTACATTGCCTCTGCTATCTCCGGTCAAGATGAACATGTTAAAGTCGATTTTAAAGGTGAAACAATCAGTGCTCCAGAAGCTTTGCAAAAACTTGGATTAAACATTGAGAAATTCAATCCAAAAGAAGGTTTAGCTATGATCAACGGAACAAGTGTAATGACCGCATCAGCAACACTCGCTGCTTATGATTTATACACATTGATGGCTGCTTCGCTCCATATTCATGCCATGGCTTTTCAAGCGCTTGCGGCTAACAACCAACCATTACATCCATTTTTTTATCAAGTCAGAAGCCATCCAGGGCAGGTATGTAAAAACACTTTTTATACTAGACAATGACAAGAGTCGCAATACATCCTTGATAATAAGATAAAATTCAGTAATTAATCATAGTTGGCTGCCTCCTACATTCAGTAGAAAGATCTATTCTATAGTTGTAAAATTCAATAAAGCAGAATATATGTACGATTAATTTTAGATTGAAGTAACCGATGCTTTACTAGAACTCATTAATGGTTCGAAAATGATCTATAATGGGCTGGATGGCAAATTGACCAAACGCAGTGAAGATGAGCCAATTCAAGATCGTTATTCAATACGATGTTGTCCACAGTTTCTTGGTCCAATGGTAGAAACAATGCATGATATTTCTCGAACAATTGAAATCGAAATTAATTGCGCTAATGATAATCCTTTGATTGATGTTAATACTCGTAAAATCTACTGTAAGTGAGAGACAAAACTTCTTACAATATTGATCGAATCCTTTTTTGATACATTTAGGTGGTGGAAATTTTCTTGGTGAACATGTAAGTATAGCGATGGATCGACTTCGACAGACAGTTGGTTTAATGGCAAAACATTTGGATGTTCAAATCGCTCAATTAGTGACACCGGAATTCAATAATGGTTTACCTGCTTGCCTTGTTGGTAATCAAAATCGTGAAGTTAATTTAGGCGTCAAAGCTCTTCAAATTTGCGGTAATTCTATTATGCCTTATTTACTTTTTCTTGGAACACCGATGGCTGATAAGTTTCCTACACATGCCGAACAGTACAATCAAAATATTAATTCAATGGGTCATATGTCGGCATGTCTCGCTCATCAGTCAATTGCTACTTTTCGGCAACATTTAAGTATTTGTCTTCTCATTTGCGTTCAAGCACTTGATTTACGAGCAAACAAAATTACAAAAAACAACTACGATGCTCGTTCATTACTATCAGACAAAAGTCGAACTGTATATGAAGCTGTTCGATCTATTATTAACGTACCTATTGATGAAAAACGTTCTTATATTTGGAATGATGGAGAACATGCACTCGATAAACACATTGCTTTGATAAGTGAAAATCTTACTATGAACGAAGATGGACCTCTTTTTAAAGCCATAGAACCAACCATTGTTTGGCTACGTTCAAAACGTTATTCTAATGAAGCACGACGAATGCCATAAATGAAAACGTATTCTGAACTACACTCTTATCAAAAATATCTTTTATTGATTAGCGCAATACGTAGTTTTTTCTAAGTAAATATCCTAGCATTTGTTTGTTGATTAGCATAATCTGTAATTTTTTCTAAATAAATATTCCAGCATTTGTTTGTTGATATGAAGAGGCGCACTAGTTATTATGGGAATATACACAGATGGTTTCATCCTTAATCCAGTACAATATAAATAACTTATTTCACATGAGAAATGAAAGACAAACAAGAGTGTGGGTGTATGGATGTGAGTGTGGTTGCGATCGCTAGCTAATATTTACACCCACATTCTCAAGATGGCGGGCATGGTTGGGAACTATTCCCACACACACACACTCTTCCAATATAATATCAAATCGATCAGAACAAAACTAACAAATAATTCAAACTTTTATTTTGTTATTTTAACAAATTACATCGAAAAAGATACATTTATTAATAAATCAAGCTTAATTTAATTATTAACAAAAATTCACTTTGAGTTTTTACATTTATTTAGTTTTCAATCAAAATAAACAAAAAAAATTTAATTATTCATTTCATCATCAACCTCAACACGTTTGATTGAAATCAATATCAAACTTTTGTATTCGATCGTTACCGCACTCGACGACATAGAGATTACCATGAACATCGAATGATAAACCAGTGGGACCGGAGAATTGATTTGGTTCATCTCCACATCCATTTCCACCAACAACAATACTACCTACGTCAGATACTTTACACCAACGCATTATTCGATCATTGGTGGAGTCAGCCACATAAACAGTACCCGAATGATCGACAATCACTCCTTGAGGATAACACAACTGTGCCAAACTATTCCCGTAACCTTTTCCACCAGCAACAACAATACCTTCTTTTGCATCTTTTATCCATTTCATTACACGATGATTCATCTCATCCGACACATAAATTGAATGATCTTCATCAACAAAGATATAAGTAGGATAATTGAGTTGATTAAGATGACTTCCTTTTCCATTTCCACCTGCTACTATTGTTCCTTCTATTTCTCCTTGTTCCCATCGTCTCACTTCATTGTTCTCTGTATCAGAGATATAAAGATTTCCATTGTTATCCATTGTTAAACTTCGACAATCAATGTCAGCAATGATGGTTTTTCCATTTGTACCATTTTGTCGAGACCATTGTACCACTCGTCTGTTTTTCCAATCGCAAATGACGAGAGAATCATTGTTTTTATCAACAATCACATCTGTTGGACTATTTAATTGATCACTTTCATTTCCACTTCCATTTCCACCTGCAACTACTTGACCAGTTTCTTCTCCATGTTTCCATTCAACAATACGATGATTCGAACAATCAGCAATATAAATAGTTTGATGATCATCATCAACATAGATACCACAAGGATAATAGAGTTGATACAATTGATTTCCTCGTCCATTTCCTCCAGCAATAGTGATTCCATGTTGTTTCCATTTGGTGTTGATATTAATATGATTGAAAAGAACTGATTGTTCTAAAAAGAAAATGATTTTGTTTATATCTGAATGAAATGGATGAATAAATGTGAATAAAAAATGTATTGTTTTCAAATGTAAGTTAATAAAATAAAAATGTTTTTATTTAAAACCATTTGAAGTGAAAATTGAATGAAATATTTAAACATTTATTGATATAAATCTATGTTAAGATAATAATTTAGTATGAATGATATTCTTTATTGTAAATTGAGAGTGTGAGTGTGTCTGTCTTCTTTTAATTCACACCCTCATCCATACTCGTAGCTTGAGCATTTATTGCTCGATATTTAAGATCAGTAGTTGTTGTAATTCGATCATCATCAATGGGTATGAGAAAATTTAGATGGCTTCATTGACATCCGTAACTCGTAACAAAGAAAAGAATAAAATAATCTGGATTTAAGTTATCAATAAACGTTTCAATCATCCTATCCATCAGTTCATATGTCAAATTAGTACCAACTTTGATTTTAAAGTCAATCTTACGTAGTTTGTTAGCAAGATCTTCAACATCATTGGTACAATGTTGAAGTTCACTATCTTCCTTGTATTTATTGTTGCCAATTAGAAGAGCTCGTTTTGTATGAATTGAGTTACCTGATGATGATAATCCAGAAGCCATAACCATAATCTATATATAAATTTAAAAAGATTCATTAAGTTTTCATAAGAAACGGCTAAAACTGAAAGTACTTTTTGTTGAGATTTTTATCTGAATCTACAAAGATTCTGACAACTGATTTTTTTATTAGGATGTAGTCAATGATAGCAGTGTTGAACTCGAATATTTAACCATTCAACAATTCGAGTTTTCTTTGTTCCTCCCTCAGACATATAGAACTCGATGAGTTGTTTCGAGTATTAAGCACTTCAACTGAGTTCTTAACTATTCAAGGATGATGAACTAATTTGAGAGTTAAGGGACAAACTTACTGGCAAATGTAAACAATTCCGACACAAAATTTAGGGCATTGAATCGGCCTAGAATCCTTTCTAACTTCTGAAAATAGATTAAATCGTCCAATTCAGTAAAAGTAATTGCTGTTCAAGATGTGTATGTTTCTCAGATTTTGTGGAAACAAATTTTGCGTTCGGGATTAATTTCGAAAATGTTTGACACAACGAAATACGATAACTTCTCTAATATCTGTATTATGAAGAAAACACCCTTGAATGAATACAACATATTTTCAGAGTATCAAAATGTTTTAGTCCTCGTTATTTCTCTCGTCAAGTCAAAGATAGAATCTAACAGGACAAATCGAACCAGCTGCATTAACATTTCAACAATGTGATAATGATATTTTTATATTTACTTCCATCAAATTCTCAATAAATAATAAATTCATAATGAATGAGCTTGGACAGAATGAAACAAATTAGTCATATAAAATATAAACAATATCATCAAATCAAGATCAATAAGAATATTACACAAGTGTAAAGTAGATACAAAATAGTCAACTAGTTAGATTTTTAACTGATAACTATTCAGTAATTGAGATCGACTGACTCTATATTTGTTTGAAATGTTTCTAATATTCTGATTATATTTCCACTCTATGTATGATATTTAAACTATTTTCTTTTGCTTTTAGAATCATTCTAATAAATTACTTAACAATTAAATAATTAAAACCGAAGAAATAAATAAAAATTGAGTAATGTGTATTTGTGAATTTTACTTGTTCTTGTGTATGCCACGCCGTTTATTTCTTTTGTCGAATAATTTCGTCATGATTTCTTTTCTTTTTGTTTTTTTAATACATTTCACCTACGCATTTGATTAAAAGTGACTGGCTATATATAGTGAATATAAAATGATTTAAGATGAAGAAATACACGACGAATGATTTTACAATTGAAAGAAAAATTTTATTCTATTTGTCCATTAAAAAAAACGAAAAATATTTTGTTTGTGATTCACTTTAATCATCAACTGAGCGATAAAAGAATTTTTTTCTTTCAATAGAGCGAATGACAAGTAGAATATTTGATATATTAAATTGAGCAACTATTTGTTCGCTTGTCTTATATCATTTATTAATTATTAGAATTAAAACTTTGAAAAAACTTTGATTGTGAAAAAAAGAAGATAAGAATATGTTAAGAAAAAGAAGATATTTATCTTTGTCTTTATCAAAATAATTTTTTATTTATTTAACAATGCTTATTCATTTTTGTTGTTATTAAACAATCACTTTAATTATCAAATGACTCACTCTTAAAATATTATTCGTCATCGTTTAATGGTGATTGATATTCATTGAAATTAATGTTATTTGTTGATGAATTGTAACTTTCAAACTATTTATATTGTTTAGATAAATAATATGTGATGAATCTGTTGTAGTGAAGACTTGAAACAATACAATTTGAGGGTGTGGATGTGTGTGCGGGTAATGAATGACAAGAATACACACACCCACACCCTTTAACGAAGTTTTCTTATTATTCTATTCAAATTTGTTTCACTTACCAGGAAGATAATATTCTTATATAACAAAAATAAATTTCGAAATTATAAATTAATCTCGTTTGAATTTGTTTTATAATACCGGATATTTATTTACAATATAGTATTAATAAAGAAAGTCAAAAAGATGATACTTCCATAAAGAGAACAGCTTAGATTTTGTTAATAAATAATGATAGATAAAAAACTATTTTTTCAAACAACTCTCTATCAATACGAGCAACATTCGTAAAAACTAAGAAGTCTATATGTAAACATTCATTGGGAAACTAGAGTTTACAAATGAGAAAAATGTTTTAGAAATAATAACAAAAAGAACTCTAAAAGTGATGAAACATGTTTAACAATATGTTTCTATAATTAACAATAATTTGTTTAGTAAACTATTCTTTTTTTTAATATCATAGTTGTAATAAATAGTTTTACGACTTGAGCATAGCTTGACTAATTATTAATGAAGCATATATCACTATAAACACATCAAATCATCGAAATTCTCAAGCAAAGGAAGTGCTATAAATCGAATTAGAATTAGCTGGATACGTTTTTTCTGTTGCTGTTTGGTTGGTGCAAGAATAAAACTGGTTAGTTCTTTCATAATAATATATGTAAATAAGAATTAAAATCTCTCAGTTCATACTTTTTCAAAAGCCATAAATATTGACAATTATTTGTGGTGTAGTATGGGGATAAAGATATGGTTTCAAGTAACGAAGAACAAAGAGATACTTTAAGCGCAGGGTGTGGGTAGGTGTATGCCTTCGTTCTCTTATCTTGTGTTTACCCACCCACACCCACACCACATTTACACTATACCCACGCTCACACCCGCAAGCAACAATATCGAATGTAGAAAAGTAACAATTCAGATTAATAAGTTTATTTGAATTATCAAAGGTCATGTAAACTTCCTGTGTTTTCTTTGAAGTAATACAAAAAAACTGATTGAAAATTCTTAAAAAGTGTTTCATAATTAACTTTGTTTGCTGTTGTCCGAACATTGACAATAAGGAGCACGATCAACTTTAGAAAAACTACGAAAACGACCGTGAAGTGAATAATAACTCTCATGATACTCCTCATAAGAGTCAATATTAATATGACCACGATACTGATCATCATTTCTATAAATATCATAGCCGAAGCGACCACGGCATGTGCTACCGTTACGACGCTTGAAACGCTCCGAATATTTACCGTCGTCCCAACGTTTCTGCTCTTTTTCATCCCACTTCATGACATTAATTATCCATCGCCACGTTTCCATATCACCCGTATAGTACGAGTCACGACATTTACCGCATTTGGCACATTGGCGACCTCCACATTTTAGGGACTCATAAGTACCTGGTGCGGCAAATTCTAAATAAAAATTTAACATATGTAATACGAATACAATAAAATAAATCGATTAATTAGCGTGTTCCGTATACCTTGATGGCATTCTAGTGCCCGAAATTCAAGCAATGCGAGAGAAAACACCCAGTTAGAAGTCCTATGATAGATTACTTTCAACTATTCTCGTAAGATATAATTGCAATGATAACTGAAATTTCTCATTATGCGTACGTGAATGAAATATTACAGTGGTCATTCGTTTTACATAAGATAGCAACCCATTTCAATTTGTTGTACTCCAAAGATAGGGATCGAGCAAACTTTACATAAATGGATAAATGGCAGTTACAAAAAATATCTTACTTTGTGAGATATGGTTGGAAAAAGCTAAATGTACAGAATCAAGTCATGAAATATTCTATTCACCAAGTTGTTTATATGTTAGAGAACGCTTATTTTGTCACTAACAGATTTGAATTTTCATAGTTCACCTCAAAGTAAATGGTACGCTTTTGAAAAGTCTGCGCAGTGCATAGATTTTTTCTGAATGACCTTTAGTATAATATAAGCATTCCATGATATAGTTTATCTATTGATGTTGGTGCTGTATGAAGATGGACAATTCGAGTCTATTTTTATTTATTTATCTATTCTCGAATATTCTGTTATCAAATTCATTTTTTTAGTATTTAAACGGTCGACTGCAGACTAGCAAGATTTCTTAATTATATTACAATAAATTCGAACATATCGAATGACGTAACGTATTTTCAATTGATAAAGAAGTATAATAAATAATCATTTTAATGATGCCTTCGTTAAGGAAAATTCTAAGTCGTAAATTATGCAACAATTTGATAGAAAGAATAGAATATATTTGTGATTCAATTTAATAATTTTTTGAGAGTTTTAAAAAACTCCTCTAATGTCAAATCGCGATCGATTGACGGTTGATTTAATAATGAAACGTCAAATACATTATCAAGTTTTGTCGATATAACAATGATGTATAAAAATAAAAATAAGATAAAATTCTCTATCTTTTTAGCGAAGGAACTTCTATAAAACATTTACCTGTTATACATACTGAGCCGAGAAGAATCTGGAGTTTGCTTTCTAATTGGTCGAGTTCGTCAATGCAATACTCGATTTTTAATGGTGGCTTGATTGTGGACAGTTCTGTTGGAAATTGTTGTAAGAGGATTGTTAGTCTGTCCTTATCTTGTAATAACTCGACATAATTATTGTTAGCAACTAGTTGCTTGAATTTTTCAGATTCACTTGAAAGTGACTGTTGTTTGCTCTCGATTGTTTCTGAGTATTTTTCTATTGACGGTTTGCTCTTCTGTTCGATCACAAGGATCTGAGTTTCCATGTTTTTTTTACATTGATTAAGCATTTTCCGTAACGTTTCGAATTGGTGTCCAATCTGCTCTATATTGCGGTTCTCACAGGCAGCCATTAATTTATTCTTCTCGTCTACTTTGTCGTTCGAACATTTTAGTGCCTTCGCAAATAGTCCGGTTAACTAATTATACAGTATAGCTTAGTCTTATGGTATTCTGATAATTCTGATTCAATACTTACATCATTAACTACGACGATTACAGCGTCATCAATCGAAGCGGCGGTATCATTTTTGTGTTTTTTAGAAACCGAGCAATCATCTGGAAACAAAAGTAAGAAAAAACAAATTATATGGACAAATGAGAACTAGCAGAATTTATGTGATTCATAATATGTTAGTATGTCAGAAAAAAAAACTAAATATATTGCTTTCGTTATCCTGATTCATCTCCAACTGTACGTATTAAAAGGGTGGGTGTGGGGCGGGCATGTGCATATTGTGTTTGTGACACCCACACCCACACACGCCATCAAGATTTCCTTATTTCTTGATTTCTAATTTCATTTTCGTGATTTCTTATGATTTCTTGTGATTTCTAGTATGGAAATCAGTTTGTTTCCTCTTGCTATCGACACAGTCGATATATATAGGGACAAAGAAGTATACGCGGATGAACAAAATAATCAAGGTAAATCGTACAATTAAAAGAATTGTCAACTTGTTGCTCACCTAATGCTTCCGAGGACCTTGTTTTTGATGCCATATCAATTAATGAATATTGAAGTGATGAAAACCAGTTATTATCTAAAGAAGAAAAGATACGTATTTACATTGCGAGCATGTGTGTAGGTGCGGGAGCGAGCGTATATCTCAATCAAATATATGAGTTCATCTACATCCACCTTATTTGATGTGGGTGTGGGTATAAGCGTGGGTGAAGGTGTGAGTGTGGTTGAGGGTCTAAGTGTGGACGAGGGTAAAAGTGTGGACGATGGCTTGAGGGCGGGTGTCTCTTTTCTTAGCTCAAACCCACGTCTATGCCCTTTTTTATACTTTCATTATATTTTATTTCAAAAAATAAGTCTTTGATGCAGTGTTGAACTTAAGTTTAAATTTTCATATATATCGTAAACTATTGGTCTTGTGCTCATGCGAATTATTTTATTGAACTTCCTAGTAGCTAATTAGCAGTGGTGGGTCTATGATTTTGGAAACGTTATATCTCAATTTCAGAGCATCGGACCCATATAAAACTTATGGAGGATGATATCGGACCCAAATGGAAGATTTTTATGAAAAAACAATTTCCTTTGAAGTTTTCGAAAAAAATTTCAGTTTTAAAATCGCCGTCTCCCCCTCCAATTTTTTGTGTCTATCGGTAATTTATTTTTAAGAGTTTCATCGTAATCTACATCGAATTTCATCGACAGATCTCAAATTTCATTTAAAAATATGCATTCGGTCGCGAGTTATGGCATTTTGAAACTTTGTTCCGTTTTTTGGGACATCTTAAAAAAATTGAAAACGTATAACTCGCGACCGAATGCATATTTTTAAATGAAATTTGAGATCTGTCGATGAAATTCGATGTAGATTACGATGAAACTCTTAAAAATAAATTACCGATAGACACAAAAAATTGGAGGGGGAGACGGCGATTTTAAAACTGAAATTTTTTTCGAAAACTTCAAAGGAAATTGTTTTTTCATAAAAATCTTCCATTTGGGTCCGATATCATCCTCCATAAGTTTTATATGGGTCCGATGCTCTGAAATTGAGATATAACGTTTCCAAAATCATAGACCCACCACTGCTAATTAGTCGAATTAGATCATAAAAAAAGGGGGAGGGGTCGATTGGTGTATTTGCCTCCAATATAATTAATGATATTGCCTAATGTGAAGATTAAATCCTCATCGAATGATGTTAACTTACCTTAGAAAACGAAGCGGAGTGCAATAAGATGTTTTGAAAAAGATAATTAAGGCAATGAAAAATGACTATGTTAGATGAAAATAAATTCTCTATGTGTATGTTGTTTATCTCTGTTCTTTGTATTCATCTATCCTTGCAAGAGCTAACTCTTGTTTCTCTTGTGTTCGCTCTTATCAACACAGATAAGCGAGTTTGTCACAAGCATACAAAAACTGCAATGCAGCAGAACAAAACTTGTTTCAGAAAGTGAGTTTATTTTGATAAAAGCAAATATATAAGTTGGAAACAATAGCACAAAGAGTTTATTACGCAAATGAATTACAAAATAATTCAAAAACTATACATTAAGTGTTTGACAAAGTTTGTTTAGTATTAATATGATGTGCATTCTATTGAAAATTGAATGTATCTGACGAAATAATTAAATCTAGCTGTTAAAGAATATAATATTGATAGATTTATCATTTTAATTCTTTTGAAAAAAAACATGAGAAAGAATACTAACGTTTTAAAGCATAAAATTGTAAAGATAGAATTTGTTAATAGATGAATATGAGATAAACATAATATACTCTTATATATAATGTTTTATTAAAATCAAACGATATTAATAGTAAAATAATTCAATAAAAGCATTATAAAATCTATTTTATATGATTAGAAGAAAGGTAAATAAAATATGCATGCAAGATATAATGAAAAAAGTGAGTTAAAATTTATATATTTTTAATTAGATTGAATTCGAGCTTTTGATTTTAATCGTTTAAATACGAGTTGGGGATCTGGGACTGGTAATGAATAATGGCCTGCTACATAATTTCCATTAATAATTCCACATAATTCCCATCCTTCTCGACCATATTTATTTAATTCAGCTGCACTTATTGATGGTGGACTTTTTTTTGTCGTTTTTTCATAACCATAGAGTTGTCGTGTAATAACACGATATTCATATTGATCACGTTGTACTGTTTCTTCACCCGTAACTAATTTTGAGTCTTAAATAAAGAGAAAAAAACTTAAATGTTTTATCTTTTATACAGAACTAATGATTCGTATTTTTAGATAAATTTTATTAATATGATCTTACCAAATATGTTTATAGAAAACATAAAAAATATAATATAAATCAAATGAATTTTCATGGTTTTCATCGATCGTCGATTCTTAGTCAATGAATCAATAGCTGATATAGAACTAATACTGATAGAATATTCTTAACGATATATAGAATATCAATATCTTTTAACTTGATATTATTATCTGTTATTGAGAATGAAAAGAAATCGGAGATAGTTTGTCATCAAATACTGTTATATATCTATACATCAGTCGACTAATGCTTCCCTTTTGTATATAATATTCCAATTTATTTCTTATCATTATTGATAGTAGAGACGTGTAAGAGAAAAGAATCAAATAGAACAGGGAATTAACATAAATCTAGTCATATAAAACGTGCTCATATACGCATTTGTGCACAAGGAAATATTTCAATGAGGAGAAAAACAACTATCATTAATTAGAATTTCCAACTTTTATAAGATCACAAAGTTATTTTTTAATGTACAAACAATTATAATCCTGAAAAAAAGTCGCGTAAAGAGAAATATTCGTCGTTCATTTCAATATTTGTACAGCTTATGTAAATCTTATTAATATATATCGAACGATTGCTCAAGATCATCAGTACATTTGATCAACATCGACTTTGTCTAGATTCAGAAAAACAATATTTATCATAAAAGGAAAAAAAAGAAAGTCTACATACGCCCATACAACGTTTTCACCTAAATATTCATTATCATACAAAGTTTTTTTTGCTTGTGGTATCGTTAAAACTGCAATAGTATAACATTGCTGGTATAAAGATAATTTTAATTCGATTGGTATTCGACTTTGTAATTGTCGAAAAGTATCTAATAAAATGATACTTGTCTCCGAATATGATATCATCGTTCTTACACGCCAATTAACCATTAATGTATATGAACATTGATCAGAAAGCATAGAAAGTAAATTACCAACAACTTTGGATCCAGTTACAATCCCCACTAATGTGAAATTCGTCAACGAAAACAAAACATCATGATCAAATAATTGATCAATTGATTCTCCATCACGAATATCATTGTTCAATGTTATTTTAAGACGTCGTAGATTTGGAACTAGATGTTTGTTAATATTAGAAACTCGACTGAAATTGATTTAGAAAAAGAAAGAAAAGATTTGTTTTATTTTCTATTTCTAATTGCATTCATCAATCTTCAAATCTATATAAAATATCATAGAACTAATTAATTAATGTATCATATGAATTGATTACATTGAATTCTCAATTTTTAGTCATGTTTTAAGATTGTCAGATGAAATCCTATCGAAAAGTATCGAGAGTCTCAACAAAATCTTTGAAGCAATTTCTAGTCTAATGAAATAAAAGTTAGTGAGAAATTCTTGACTTTCAGCTACGATTTATTATTCTAAATGTAAGAAAAGAAACTTACTTGTTTATATGATTTTTCAATGGACGTTTGTTAGGTAACCAAAGAGCAGACAGACCAAAGCTAAGATCTTGCAATTGTGGAAGATGTTCAAATAAATGTAAGAAAAAGACTGGTGAACATTCTCGAATCACAAATGATTGTAAATTGAAAAGACTTGTTTTAACCGTTATAAAAACTTGATTGAGTGGCAGAATTATTTGTTTGTCTAAAGTACTGTATATATATCGCCAGAATTGTAGATGACATATACGTAAAAAAGGAAATAAATGAAAGATTCGTTCATAATATGCACCTTCAGGCACACCTACATATGTATAAGCAGCACGACACTGAGTTGTAAATCGTATTGAAAACATGATGAGAGATGTATTCAATAAACACTTATTAAGTATCGACTCAAATATAGGACGTTCTATATCAATTAAAGATAAATGACGAAGATTGATAAAAGTAGATACATGTTTCGATAACCATAATCCATTATCAGAAAAGAATTCATCTGATACACATAATGAAATAAGACGATGACATACATTTGATTGTGATAAATGTATATGATAGAATTCAGTTAAACTTATATTCGTTATATTTGAACCCAAATAAACAGGTATAAGTGGCATGTTATTAATAATAGCAGCAAATTGAGAATTAAGATTGGAAAAACTATTGAATACTTCATGTAATTGAAAATAAGTAAATATTTCATGGCACAGTTCGATTGAAAGATCTTCGAATATTGTTATTGTCATATTTTGATTTAATATAAATCTACTGAATTATTATATAACATTCATTCTTAAATCCTTTCCTATAAACAATAATACAAAGCGTTATTATTCTTTCTGCCTATAATATTATTTTTATTCGTCGGATTCGTCAGTCAACGCACATGCAATTTCTTTCCTTTAGGTCAATTCCTCCTTAGCGACTATTATTAGACGAATCATTAGTTATCCTTTTTCATATATTGACAACGTTTTTTCAAGATTTAAGTTAATCAACCTTACTGATGAAAACAGCAATTGAAATCATCATGGTCTTTTATTACCTAATATCATCTATTTACGCCGACAAAGAAATATTCGTAATGTGACTTGTTTTTTACTCGAGCCTGACATCACACTATTGCATATTATATTTGTTTTCATTTATTTTACCTAATAAAAAATATTTTTATCGGCAACATACCTTTTCAATGGATATTATTAGGAAGTAAAAGAACGAAAGAAAACTCGGAGGTTTGACTCAATAAGTAATTACGTGAGACATGTGCGTATTGAATGAAAATAGGTATGAAAAATGATCGATAGACATTTTACAGCTAACAGCGTATAGGTAAGACATGATATTTCTGAATACATCAAAATCATTGTTTTATAATAAAAATCTCTATGAAATGTAAAAGTAACTGATAACTTGAGAGAGAGTTTTCATAGATTAATCAAGTCGTACGTAAGATTATGAGAGAATCGAGTTTTAAACTGATTTGTTTTTTTTAGCTCGACAACAAAACACAGCTACAAGTAATCAATATTTATCATAGTTACAAAAACAGTTGCTAAAAATCATGTTTATATTCAATGGTCAGCAACAATGTATGATCTTGTGGATTCTTATTACTGTTTCTGGTATATCGAATGCTCTGAGAAACTATTCAGACGCATCACGACCAGTGATAGTATGTCCCAATTCACAATTATTATGTGGCGAAAGCACTTGTTACGATCCGACTACACAAAGCTGCACTAAACTCGGTGAAATGATTCAATGTATTAGTATCTGTGAAGATAAGTGTTATAATTCAAATATATATCAATGTTTTAATGGCACATTGTGTATGGCGTCTGATCAGTTATGTATTATTAAATACAAAATTGACTCTTCGTATGTATATGATCCGCCTTTATATCAGTGCTACAATCCTACATATCAAGCATGTTTCAATAATACACTCAATAGTCAATCTCAAGTATGCGATCAAAAATATGTTGTAGGATACCAATTGTGTATCAAGAATAAAACAATATGTCATTCACCTGATACAAACTGGTATTATAATTACAGGTCAATGTTGACCACAATTGAGTCATGTAATGGTACATGTTATGATCTTTCACTTCAACAATGCATTAATAATACTATTCAATGCATTAATAATAACAGCTGCTCTAATACATGCTACAATTCATCAATATACAAATGTTTGAATGAGACTTTGTGTAATCTAGATGATGATTTATGTTATGTGAAATACGATGACTCGAACGCACAGCATTACCCACAATCATATCGGTGTTACAATCCTACATATCAAGTATGTGTCAACGACACACTCTGGGAACGATCTCAACTATGTGGTCAACAATATCTTCAAAAAGGTCAATTGTGTGTCAATAATAAAACAATATGTCATTTACCTAATACAAACTGGTATGATAGTTACAGACCAAGATTGATTACAATAGAGTCATGCAATGGTACGTGTTATGATCTTTCACTACATCAATGTGTTAATGATACTATCCAATGCATTAACAATAACAATTGTTCTAATACATGCTACAATTCATCAATACACAAATGTTTGAATGGAATTCTATGTGATCTGGATGAATATGCGTGCAATATAAAGTCCTATGGTTTGGATACACAGTATTATTTATATTCACGTTGTTATAATCCTACATATAAAGCATGTTTCAATAACACACTCTGTGATAAATCTGAAGTATGTGATCAAAGATGTACTGTAGAAGACCAACTGTGTGTCAAAAATAAAACAATATGTCATTCACCTAATAGAAGCTGGTATTATAATTACAGATCAAAATTGACTACAATTGAGTCATGTAATGGTACATGTTATGATCTTTCACTACATCAATGTGTTAATGATACTATTCAATGCTTTAATAATAATAATTGCTCTGGTAAATGTTATAATCCATTAATACAACAATGTTTGAATGGAACAATATGTAATTTAAATCAACAATTATGTGCAGTAAATTTTTATTATTTTCACTATGGCTACGGAACTTTTCCATATGAAAATCGATGCTATGATCCCGTAGTTGAATTATGTTCCAACGGCACACTTTGTAATCGTTTTTCTCGATCATGCAATCAACAATGTCTCCCATATAGCCAGATATGTGTTAATAATAATACAATATGCAATATTACGTCCTGGTATGACTATTATACAGAAAATCAAATTCAGCTTTGCGACGGTATATGTTATAATACGTTTTCACAAAGATGTGTTCTTATAAATATAATTATCAATTCTACTACCACTTCATTATTACCAGAGACACCGACAACAACAACATCTAGCCCATCTAATTATCCTTCGATATGGTGGAATATATTTAGGATCAACTGTTATATAATAATTGTTTTTAGCGCTGTACTTTATATTATACTGCGATTATCTAGCTCGTTCTCAGCTAAAAGTGAAAAATCTATTAATTTGGATCTTGATCGAATTCATTTACTCAAAAGCGATCAAATTTAATTGAAATGCTTTATACGTATAGATTGGATTCAGGACTATTTAACGACATAAAACTGTCGATATTGTCGCCGCTATGCACCACTTCTCTCAAATTACGAACTTATCCCTTTTTTGCATCGGAATGTCTTTAAGTATATAACATTATAAAGTTCATTGGCTCACAAACTCTTAACATTAAGTGTCAGAGTGTCTCTTTTCTAATCATATCTATATCTTTCAAAGAGTGTGGGTGTGACGATAACATATTTACACATAACTCTCATCCTCACCCACACTCACACCCGAGTATTTGGTATGTTTATTTATTTCATTTTATTGATGTGAACTATAAGCAACAGAATCGCGATAATTTTTCTCGCAAAACTAAAAGAAATAGTTTGATTTATAGAATGTCCGTTTTTTACATGTAAACGATAATTTTAACCGAAAACTGCATTCTGTGTGAAAATAATATTAATAGTTGAGGGTATGGGTGTAAGTGTTGGCATGGATACTGTGTTCACCGAGCACCCACACCCACCTCATATCCTCAATCAATTATTAAGTGAGAATTCAGTCTAATTGATCGCTATTGAATGTATCCTTCTCTATTATAAGCGAATGTAGTATATCTATATATATCTATATATATGTACACGTATATGTACATAAACAGGATGGGAAACTTCCAAGATAATAAGGGAAAAATAAGGAGAAAAAAGTACTTAAACGAGTCAACGTTTGGGAAATATCTTAGATGAAAAGGAAAAAAATAATATATATGTGAAGATCGCGCATAAGTCATCTATACGATACAATCAAAAGAAAGAAAAAAAAAGTATCCAACTCAGACGAATCATATTGTAGCACCTGGATTTATACTGCTCCTTATACATACGATTTATTGTTAATTTAAATAAACTATTGCTCATTTAGTATAAATATTGTCGATTTAGTATTATTATTGCTCATTCAGCTTTATTATTGCCAAATTTCATTATTGCTTATTTAAATATAAGCCATAATATTTTACATATTCATATTTGATTAATCTCAAAATTATTTATAAATTAATTTTTATATTTAATGAAAGTGTTTCAATTTATTCCTTTTGATTATTAAAACTTTTTTTAAAATATCGTTCAGATTATTTTAAATGAGAAAGATAATAATTAATATTAAAAATAAAATTGATTTATTGAGTTCTATTTCAAAGAATTGTGTTAATTTTATAGATAAAGAAATATTCATAATCCAAAATCAAATAGAAAATTTAACCATATATATTCAAAACATTTTCTTCAGGACACAAAAAAAGACTCGTAGATTTTATTTGTTTTCTTAAAATAAAAATTAAATTAAATTGAATAACGAAAAATACATGAAATGAAGTTTAAATTTATTTTTGTGAATCATCAAATTATTCAATAAGTTAAAAATCTCTTTAGAAATTGTTTTTTCGATAAGATGTGTATCATAAATGATCTTATTTAATTCATTTGATATTATTTATCTGATATAATTAAAATAAAAAAATACAAAAGATAGGGTGTGAGCGGGGGTGTGACTGTTTTATTTTTATCTTACACCCACACCCTCAAGATTAAACTAGAAGATCTACATTTTAATCTCTTCAAAAAAATTATCATTTCTATCTTCAATGACAAAGTGATATATTTTTGATTTGTATATTATTATGATAATCTACACGAAGAAGATTTCTTAACTGCTTTTATAATGTACCAATTAAATTTTTTATCTAGTTGATGTCTATATAATATAATCAAAGACTTTATTTTTCATTTGCAACTGAATTATCAATAGAATTTTTCCTTTAAAAAAGTTAGATAACATGAATTTTCAGTTGGTGAGACATGAACTCTTATCAATCATAAATTTTTGCACACGATTATTGAGAGTATCGGTAACATAAAGATTTCCATATCGATCGAGAAATAAATCAGAAGGATTATGTAGTTGATCGGATTCTGAACCAACACCATGTTCACCAATGATTAAATCACCAGATGCTGCTCCTCGTGGCCAACGCACAACTCGATGGTTGTCAGTATCAGCTATATAAATAGTACCTAATTGATCAACAAAAACACCTGTTGGGAAAGCTAGTTGATCTAAGTCACGACCTGATTTATCAGATTGCCCTGCAACAATAATAGGTTCTTCAGCATCTTCAGATACTTTGACTATTCGATGAGCCATATAACCTACTGAGTAGACGGATCGATCTTGATCAACAAATAAAAAATTCGATTGACGTAATTGTGTCGCTATAACTTGTCCATTTAGTTCATCGTCATTCATGTTCCATTTTGTGATACGACCATCTGCATATTCAGACACATAGATCGATCCTTCGTCATCTTGTCCTATACCAACGGCTTGAATATGATCAATTATTACTTCTCCTTCTCCAGCATCTCGTCGCCAACGAACAACACGCCGATTTCCTCCATCACTAATATACATTGTTCCGTTTTTGTCAACGACAACATCCTGTGGCATATTCAATGACATAGAACGCGTACTTTCCCATTCTGCACCAGCAACTAATTGACCTATTGTAGCATTTTGTTCCCACATGATAACACGATGATTAGAACGATCTGCTATATAGATAGTATCATTATCATCAAGAAAAATTCCATAAGGATCAGCTAATTGATCAAAACCGTGTCCAAAACCCTTTCCACCAGCAACTGTAATGCCTTGTGTAGCCCATGTTGCCGTCAAACAAATGTCACTCTCTAATCTTGATGAAAGAGTTGAAGCTAAAAAAAACTTAAATGTTTAGTTTATCTTAAAACAAAAAACAAAATTTTACTGGTAGCTGTTGCCGATGGAATATCTGATACACTAAAGTAAAAGATTTTTTTAAAAATCAAAACATAAATATCATTTACTTCACAACAAAAAAGAACAAACAGTAGTAGAACCCTTTTTGTAGCATTTTTTCTTGACTCCGATAAAATATTATATCTATATAAATGTTTTCATTTTTCTGTGTAAGTATGACTTGAATTATAATTTTCTCATACCGTCAACATCGACGAGCATCAGTTTTATTATCCTTCGGTAAATAGAGAGTATCAGTCATATTTTTCTTCGTGTATTGATAACAGCACACGCCTTTCTCAACACGTGGGCGTGTGAAAATTTATTTTCACATCAATTATAAAATCTCACTCCAAAGCTAGAAAAAAAATACTTTGCATTATTTATACTAATTTCGTACAAAGTTATTCATTTGTTTTTTACCCATTGAGTGCAGATCAATGCTAGTGTTGTAACATCTACTGATAGTTGTTTTATATAAACATTTATTATCAATTACGGTAGGATAGAAGTGAATCAGCTAGCCCATAATGAAGTTGAGGGTGTGGATATCAGTTAGAGATCGCACCCACATCCTTTATTTATTTTCAAAAATAAAATTCAAAGTTTTGCGAAATTAATTTAAAATTTTTTCATATTTTTGGATTCGATGATTTCCCTGATCAACAACATAAAGATTTTCTTCATTATCAAATGATAA